AAAGCATCTTTAACCAAAGAAGCTCAACAACTTAGAGTGTTACATAATGAGTTATACCACAGGAAAATGAAGCCGGTCCATGCAGGAAATACGAAACTTAAACAGGAAATGGGAGGAAATACTTCGTTAGAAAAACATATTTTTATGGCATCTCACCTTCTGACTTTTTTACTCTTTTTGGGAGAATAATGTTATTGTTTACATTCATTAAACATCTCAGATGAAAAAGGTACAACATTTCATAAAAACGGACACAGGTCTGTTTCGTTGTGCTTCTTGTGTTTTTCACTACATTTACAGTAGTTGGTTGTTTTGCTGCAAATGTTTAAGCGTCATGGAGAGAGGATTTGTAGGAATCTGCTGGAATCCTACAAATGTTTTGAAGTTGGGTCAATTAAAAAATCTATACAATAAATAACTTACTTTGAACAACCTCAGTTTTGAGAAAAAGCTTATTATGACTGTAACAGTGAGCTATTCCTGGTGCAACTGGAACTAAAATGAACATCTGCTGGTAAGAAACAAAAAAACAAAACCTCCCTAATCTCAAATTTACATAGTGATACACACTAACAACAGTTTCATATGACATAGTTGTTTCACACATGTAACTGCTGCTGCTGTCAAAACAATAATAAAAAATTTGATGAAAACACCTACATAATGCAAAATTGATGGTGATGCAAGTGTTTGAACAATATTTACCTTGATGACATTTGTAAAAAGATTTAGTAGAGTTGCTACAATTAAATAGGATTTATTTTCAGGACAAATGTTTCTGATAAAGTATTAGGCAACAACCTTACCAAAATAAAGGGGAATTATTAATCTGATTCCCATTCCAGACTTGTGATGAAGCTACCATATTTTATATGTTGTATTATAGTTACTTTTTGATACATAAAACCAGTTTCACAAAATACCAACATAAAATAAAATGTAAAATTTAATTTCTTTTATGTTTTTGCTTCCAAGATGTTACACTTTCTTGTAATCTTTTATGTGGTCTTGATCAATATATATTTTAAAGCTTTCCTTTTAGACTTTTGCTGCCTTTTCACTCATTTTCAGTCCAGTTCTTTTCCTGTATCTCATCATGACAGCATATTGGGTGGTGTGTGCTAAATAAATGAGTAAAGTGGACCAGTAGAAGACAAAAGAAATGTCAGGCCTAAAAAGCGAGGTGTAACAGACCAAACATATCTGAATCATATCTTCTAATTTAAAATTGCTAAGCTTTCTTTTAGATGTTGACATAATACAAGTTAAGGAGTTTTTTTTATGATGAATGATTTATAGGTCAAAGTCCAGTGGCTTTAGCAAACAATAGCAACAACAACAACAACAAAACTCGGAAAATATTCAGTTACTGGAATAAAATGAATGAAAAACAGCCAAAGTTCAAACAAATGTTATGAATTATCTTCCGAAATAACTTTAGATCCAGATCAAGGTTACAAATTGTTTGGCCTTTTTGGAGAGGGAAAAAGAATTAAGGGGGAGAGTGTCTCTTAGTAGTGCAGTAATGATTTACCCACCAAATCTCTCCTCACATAGCCCTCAGTGTGATGTAATCACCACAAAAAGATGAGGCTGGAAGTGCTCGTTGTATCTTTTTCAGGCTCTCTTACTCAGTTCCTTCCATGCGTCAGTGACTGTGTGACCGTGTTTCATGAAATCGAGCCTCGTCACTGAGGCTGCAGTGCTCATCTTGATCCTTCTCATCCTTTGTCAGTTTTGGCAGTAAATGATGCTTTCCAGAACACTGACTAACAGGAACAGCAAACATGATTTTATCCTCCCACCACCTCTTAAGTTGGATTTTTTTTCTTTGCAGCAGGATAGACTTTATCACAGACTTTGTTAGGCAGTCTCTGTTATTACGGTTCTCTGTGATTACACGCTGTTAAGCAAATGGCAGCAACTGCATAGCAATTTCACAGCAGCAGTTTTCTTGSCCCTGCTTTAAAGGCAACGTGAGGAAGGTCTTACGCAGCATTGTCATTGAAAAGGTTACTGTAACAAAAGCACAGTCGCATTTGTTCTTGAATCTTGTGCCCTTTCTCTATAAAAAAGAAAAAAGAAAGAAAACCTGTCTTTTTTTAACGTCAGATGTTATTGATAGGTAACACCGATGGTGGTAAAGGTCGGAGAAACAGCTCTTAGTGATGATTAATGTGCAGGAATACTTTTAGCATAGGTTTTTTTTTTTTGTATTTTATAGATTTTTGTTGACTTAGAAGTTTTTTATGAATTGCCATTCTGAGAGGCACTGAGTGGATGAGGTCTAAATTTAGTTATCACTAAAGCAAGAATGAGTCTTGAGGCCAAACTAGTGGCTCAGTGAAACTGCACTGAAGCACATATTAAGGAAAATTATTACAACTTCAACAGGACATGTTGACCACAGCAATCTTGAAATGCTTATACTTTTCTTTTTAATGTGAACACAGACCCTGACCGGGGACTGTTATTTTAATATTAAAATAACAGAAAGAAATAACAGCAGAAAATGGCCATACATGAATGTATTATTTTGATGTGACTTGGCTGCTATTTTAAGATAATCAAACTACTGTTATCAGAAGGAACTGGTCTTTCATTTTCTTGAGGAAACATCCATCCATCCATCCATCCATCCATCCATCCATCCATCCATCCATCCATCCATCCTCCATCCATCCATCCATCCATCCATCCATCCTCTTTACCTGCTTTTACTATTTATGGGGTGCTGGTTCCTATTCTCACCTAGTGAGAGGTGGGGTGCCTTCTGCAGGGGTCATCACAACAAGTGAACACACATTGTAAATTGAAATACTGAACAATGGGCTATCTTCTTGCTAAAAATAAAATCACATTTCCAGTTACTGCCATGTTTTTTTCTTTAAAAATATACATATATATACAGTGTATCTATATATCTATATCTATATCTATAA